ACTATTAAGAGAAAATGTTGGCTTTTCTGTTTCTTAAGAAATAGTAAGAGTATAGTAGACAAAGGGATAATGCGTATTTCAGGTTGGACAGTTTTCTCTTGACACAAACCATGGAAAGTACAAAGATGAGTGAAACATCTTTGACATCAAAACATCCATCAAGGCCCTTGCCAATTTGGCTCAGCAGATAGAGTGTAGAGTCTCAGGTTCAATTCTGGTCAAGGGTACATGTCGGGGTTGTGGGCTCGATCCCCAGTTGGGGGTGTGCTGAAGGCAGCCAATCAATGATTCATTGTTGATATTTATATCTTTCTCTCCTCCCTCCTGCTCTGAAATCAATAAAGAGATATTTAAAAAAAACATATCCATCAAGGATTCTTGTTTCATTTGATAAAATTAATATTCTAATAAAAGATTTCAAAAAAAAATAACTATCACTCCATTTATTCTCTGTTAACTCATTTAACATAGGTAAGTTTTGCCACAACAGTAGTGGAGATAATACTGATTTAAAATTATTCTCTAGGAGAGACAGATGGGTAACATTTTCATCCAATTATACTATTAGTATCCAATTATATCATTAGTGGGTTCTTTCAAGTTTTGCCTAATGAGCTTATGATCTATACCTTAAGGAAAATCTTTCAGATTAGCATTCCTATTGCTCTTTTAAAAGTGAATTAACATGCTGCCCAAAGAACATGAATCTAGTAAGTAGATTTTCTTACAGAATGAAAAGTTGATTGTAGGTTTAGACCAAGTGATCCTGAAGTTTTTTCAGAAAAAAAAAAGATGTCTATTTACTGTTCTCAAAGTCAGTCATGTATCTCAGTTCTTAAATTGATGTGGAACAGAAATGTACTTGGCTGGGTTTCGGCTAGGCTTTTTCTTTTTTGGTAGGGGAAGGGGCTTTTTAATTTCAATTTTGCCTCTATATCATACATGTTTTATTAAGTTCCAACAGTTCTATGCATCCATTTCCCATCTATAATGTACATGTATGTACTGTTTCACAGGTCAGAAGTATTTGCTTGCTTGCTTGCTACATAAGCTAATGGGAGGATACAAAGGTGAATAAAAGTTGATTAAAATTGCTACAACCATTCTCATAAGTCTTAAGTAATTAGACTTGAAGTTAGATCTTTTCTAAATAAGAAAATAAAGGTTCCTAGATCTTTCTCTTGTTTTTTTAAACAGCATGGTTCTTCATGCTATTTACTCTTCAAACATTTATTTAGAGTCCATTGGTGAAATATGACACATCACCAGATTGATTTACACTTTGATAAAATCCTTCCAAAGTGCAGCGTGGCACGACAGATTAACTTTACTCGATGCTATATCCTATCTAATAAAGTGGTAATATGCAAATTGACCATCACTCCAACACAAGATGGCCGCCCCCATGTAGACACAGATGGCCGGCAGGGGAGGGCAGTTGGGAGGGACCAGGCCTACAGGGGAGGGCAGTTGGAGAGACCAGGCCTGCAGGGGAGGGCAGTTGGGGGGGACCAGGCCTGCAGGGGAGGGCATGAGGGGCAATCAGGCCTGCAGGGGAGTGGTTAGGGGGTGATCAGGCTGGCAAGCAGGTGTGGTTAGGGGCAATCAGGCAGGCAGGCAGGCGAGTGGTTGGGAGTCAGCAGTCCTGGATTGTGAGAGGAATCCCAGATTGGAGAGGGTGCAGGCTGGGCTGAGGGACATACACACCCTCCCCACACACACACAAATTTCGTGCACCAGGCCTCTAGTATACATATAGAAAAACAGCTGACCTTTAGTGGGCTTTTTTTATACATATAAATATATTTTTATTAATTTCAGAGAAGAAGGGAGAAGGAGACATAGAAACGTCAACAATGAGAGAATCATTGATCTGCTGCCTCCTGCACACCCCCTACTGGGGATGGAGTCTGCAACTCAGGTATGTGCCCTAACTGGGAATTGAACCGTGCGTTACCTCTTGGTTCATAGGTCAATGCTGGGCTAGTGAGCTTTCTTTAAAAAAAAGGCAGATTGAGTAGGTCATGAACACTACAGAATACATCAGCTTTTCCCAAAAGCTTTAAGCACAGCTAGACTTTATTTTGAATGGATTTAAATATTTTTAAACTGTAACTTCTAAAATCACAATCTTGGATTGTGAAGACAAGAAAGCTGTTTCTGCAGTTTACTAGTGTCTGGGAATATTTTCTTTTGTCAATGAGAAGACACAACTTATAAACTTGTTTTAAAATACACATTTAGCCCAGCTGGTGTGGTTCAGTGGTTGAGCGTCAGCCTATGAAGCAGGAGGTCACAGTTCAATTCCCGGTCAGGGTACATGCCCAGGTTATGGGTTTGATTCCCAGAAGGGGGTGTGCAGGAGGCAGCCAATGGGTGATTCTCTCTCATCATTGATGTTTCTATCTCTCCCTCTCCCTCTCTGAAATCAATAAAAAAATGTTTCAAAAATACAAATTTATTCTTGCTAGTAGTTGCAAGTATTACAAAAGTTTAATCTGAGGTCTGTAATTAGCATGACTTGTTTTTAACATAGGTAGATTTTGCCACAATGAGTTCAAAATACTTTGCTGGAATGCCGTTATGATTAGCTGTGTGTGTGTGGGGGGGGGTAGCTATGGGCTGGGGTTTAGGAATTTAAGCCAGTATTTAACCTATTTCAAATGGAATTGAGGAATAAATTTTCTGATGGTATTAATTGCCAATGTCCATTTCCCACAACACACTTTGCTTATATATTTTGCACCAAAATAGCTATGGTACTCCAAAAAATAGGGTAATGGGGTTAAGTACTGTTCTCATTATCCTTTAAGACATTGTAGCCTCTAGCCATGGGCATTCAGCTCCAAATATTTCCATATGGCACATAAATCATAATGTCATTACAGCATAATTTTTTTTTATGCATGCGCTCCTCAGCCATGATCATCTTCATCAAAATTGTCTATGACAGGGGTCGCCAACCTTTCGGACCACCAGTGGTCCAGGACCACCTGTTGGAGATTGCTGGCCTATGATATTAACTCAGCATAAAACAAGTTCTTTTTGTTTGCTTTAATAAAGAAACAATAATGCAGGTGTTTTATATAAAATAAAGCAATGGCTATATGTGCAAAACTTCGGGTTTGGTGTTTTGGGAAGGGGGAGGGAATGGTGACAGAAGAAGAGTCCTTTATTTCATAACCATGTTCTTCTGCCTGTTTTTTATTCCAAATCTCCTAAGGGTGTCAAGAAGGCCAGTATGACTGCAATACTTTATAGCATGAGGCAAAGTATAACATGAAATGAGAGCAGCCTGTGTATTGCTTTAAGACAGTTATTAGAAACCACTCACTAATTCAGAAGCCAGTGAGTCATCGGCATGAGAACGGAAGGTGGGAAGGAGTGGGCCCTGTGAACTACCAAAGACAGAGTGGTACCCACATTTCTAAAATGGGACTGGTTCTGTGCCTAATACTAACGTATGCCTGATAACCTGGTGATAATTCATAGTTCAGTAGTTTACAATATTTTTAGAAAGCACATAATAGTAACAAATAAGACATTATAGAAAGTTTTACAAAGAACAGATTGTTTACTGTAATCCTTTTTAAAAGGCTTGGTCTATTTTGAAAGATCAAATTGAGTTTTAAAAAATCAAAAGAAAGGAAAAGTTTTTTCTCCCCACAAAATACATAAGAACCACTTATTGGCATCTGAATTTTAAGTGCCTAGAATAAAACAAAACACATTTTCTGTTAATAACAGCTTGTACAAGGACTTGTTTCATTTGATTTGGCACCAAGAAAGAGTAAATATGCCACTGAAGATAGTCGAGTTTCTCCCCCTCTCGTATTGCTCCACTCCTCCTACCACACCACAGTACAGCAGGCATCCTTGTTGCCCCAGTAAGGAATCAAATCATTTTTATTTTTTAAAACAGCTGCTTAGGTTACACTCATCGGCAAAGTTCTTTACCCTTAAGATAGGACAGCAGTGAATGCTAGGAATAAACTCCTTCAGCAAACTCAATTAGTTTCCTCGTCCTGGCTTCCCTTTCATTGCCATACCAGTTAATTATGATTGCTGTTTTTGTCAAGGGAATGTTCCCCAGGCAAACGTGATCTGTTTCCCAGTGACAGGCATGCTTACTTTACCTAGTGCCATGGGTGTGTGTTTTTAATTCATTTTTTTTTCTACTTGAATGTTACTCATCAAGGCAGATCAGACATTTTGATTAAAAAGAGAAACTGGCAAGTAGATCCAAAAGCACATCTGTCAACCAAAGTAACGTCTGAAAACATAGGTCTTTATATTTTCCTTTGAAAAGTCAACTCCAGTCTTTTTACAGGACTTATGTCAATTTCTAATATAAATACTTACCTATATGCTAACTGATACATTTTTATACCAAATTGAAAATTCTGAGTAACTTGAAAGTACATTTAACAACAAAATAAATACATCATATATGGCTAGCTAATAAATTTCTTTGTGTAGAGGCAACAGTGAATTTGCATCCTGCATCTAGTCTGTAAATCCAGTTGCTTTTTTTCTGGAATTTTATAGACACACTGTACCACAACACTGTTTCCCGCGGAGCTAGGTATGGCTTTTTTGGCATCACTCTAAGCAAAAGCTTCTGATGAGACTTTTACCAAATGACATGGAATTTTTTTCTTTACTTTTCCAGAAAAATAAGGAAACTTTATTAACCACTTAATCTTCTGAACAAACATTAGAGTGCAACCGATTGCTCTTTTAATTATGCCCTAAACGACTTTTCAGAAGTTCTGTTAGACATCTCTGATGTTTTTGAATTGCACACCCATAGTAGATAACTGGATAAAACATACTAGATGATGTCAAAAGACAAATCTTAGTATTTGGCACATCTTAATTTCCAGAATAAAATCAGCAGAAATGAACTAATATAATTTTTTAAGAATTCATACAAGTGCAAGTCTTAGGACAAGGAGCTTCTGAATGCACAGATAAGGAGGAGCTTCTGCTCATCTTACTAGTTACACCGGCTTTTCCTCAAGGAGTAACTGATGATTTCTGGTTTATTTGTGGCACTTTTGTTTGTAGGAAGGCATATACATCAGGCCAGATCTTGTTGGTTTCGGTTCCGGAGAATGTTTCCAACACTCCTTTTTTCCTAAAGGTGATAAAACCAAAAACACAAGTCTGAGTCTTCCTCATAAACTCTTTCAAAGAAATTCTTAAAAGACTAGAGGGCCCTAACTGGTTTGGCTCAGTGGATAGAGCATTGGCCTGCGAACTCAAGGGTCCCAGGTTCGATTCCAGTCAAGGGCATGTACCTTGGTTGCGGGCACATCCCCTGTGGGGGGGTGTGCAGGAGGCAGCTGAATCGATGTTCCTCTCTCATCCATGTTTCTAACTCTCTATCCCTCTCCCTTCCTCTCTGTAAAAAATCAATAAAATATATTTTTTAAAAAAATAAAGACTAGAGGCCCAGTGCAGGAATTCATGCATAGGTGGGGTCCGGACAGCCCAGCCCAATCGGCCCCAGGACATAGGAGGTTGGCTGGCCAGCCCCACCCCCAATTGGAGTGGGGAGGGCCAGCCATGGGGAGGGGCCGTGGGTGGTTGGCCGGTTGGCCCCACCTCCTGGTCAAATTCCCTGGTTGAACTCCCAGTCGAAGGGACAATTTGCATATTAGCCTTTTGTTATATAGGATGATAATGTGGATGTGGTCTCCATAAGTGTAGGTCTGTGTGATCAACAGAGAGAGGCATTTGGCTGGGCATGGGGAAACCTGTGTTTTGGTTTCACTTGTGTCCTCTGGAAAGGGTCACAAGATTCCAGTGGGATTGTCCCCACTTCCTAGCTTCAAGGATGGACAAGATGAACTCATCAGTGCCAACTCTAGGACTTCTGTTGTCCAAGAGGCTCTCTTTTCTGCTGGGGTAGCTGAACTGGTAGGAGGTTAAGTGCGGTAAGCAGGAGTTGAGGGACTTACACAGGGAGAGCCCACCTGAGATTGAGGCCAACACAGGAAAATGGAGCTGAAAGTGACGAGGCCGAGAACACTGAACAAGCTGGACTCAGCATTCACCTTTGGACATTTTAGTTACAGGACCAATAAATTTCCCTTTTGCTTAGACTAGTGTGAATTAGGTCCCTGATTGGTATAAGTACATTTTATGATAAATACCATTTACCCAGCTCTCTGCCTCACCCACAGATAGAAGGTGAGGGTTTCTTGGGTTTTGGCAGGGTAAATAATAGCTAACACTGAGTGATTTAATAGTGCCAGGGCTGCCGTAAGTCTTTACGTGGATTCTCTCACTTAATTCCCTTAATGACCCTACAAAGGAGGTACTATTTAATATTGCCCTGATTTTACAAATGAAAAATTTGTGGCATAGAGGTTGAATCCCTTGCCCAGGGCCCCAGTGCTGGCAATCTGCAGAGCCAGCCTCATTACACAAATCACAAAATTACAGTAACAGCTACTGTAGAAAGTGGATCGCCAACTCCCTTATAATTCTAACCTCCAAAAATAGCTATTAAAACAGTGTGCAGACTATTATTTTAGTTTCACTGCATACTTTCTCTCTTATAACAACAACAATAGCTGATCATTATAAAATGCTTACTATGTGTCAGAAATAATTCTAAGAGTTACGCATATGAACTCAATCTTTCAACCTTCTATTCTAACCCCCATTTTGCAGAGGAGAAAACAGGTTAAGACCAAGATAATAAATGAGGAGCTGGGATTTGAACTTAGTCTGGCTCCACAGTCTGTGCCCTAAACACAACACTGTTCTGTCCTGACAACTGTCATTATTCAGTAAGTGAATGAATAAAAGGAGAGGGGATGGGTGAGCAAGGAAACTGGATTGTTTCTTAGCCTGAGTCAAATAATATTTAGTATAGATCCCATATTCTGTTGTGGAAGTCTCTGAAGAGCAAACAAAGCTATGTTAGAATATAAGCTTTTAGCCAGGCTGGTGTGGCTCAGTGGTTGAGTGTCAACCTATGAAACAAGGGTCACGGTTTGATTCCTGATCAGGGCACATGCCTGGGTTTCGGGCTCAATTCCCAGTGTGGGGCATGCAGGAGACAGCCAACCGATGATTCGCTCTTATCATTGATGTTTCTCTCTCTCCCTCTTCCTTCCTCTCTGAAATCAATAAACATATATTAAAAAATTTTTAAAGAGAATATAAGCTTTTAAAGATGATTAACCAGCCGAAACCGGTTTGGCTCAGTGGATAGAGCATCGGCCTGTGGACTGAAAGGTCCCAGGTTCGATTCCAGTCAAGGGCATGTACCTGGGTTGCGGGCACATCCCCAGTGGGAGATGTGCAAGAGGCAGCTGATCGATGTTTCTCTCCCATCGATGTTTCTAACTATCTATCTCTCTCCCTTCCTCTCTGTAAAAAATCAATAAAATATATATATAAAAAAAAGATGATTAACCAAATAAATGATACGAGAATTGGTTGCCATTTGAGTCTTCTGTCCTATAGGCACAGGAAGTGGATATTATTGGGGCTGCTTCCCCAGCATTCATTCCAGCCCTCCCTCCACCAGACTGTGGAATCTGGGTGAGACTGACCCACTCGAAGCTCCAGGTGTGGGAGTCATTCCCAGTGATTGCTTCAGGAATGGGCAGAAACCTAGGCCACCAGCAGTTAGTGCAGGGCATTCTCTGACCACAGTGGCTATTCCAGTGGGTCCAGCCTGCATGACCCTTGGGGCTTGTGTTCACTGGGGGAAAGGTGACCCCTCAGCCCTTCAGGAAAGGGCTGTCCCTGGCAACTGTCGAAGCCAATACAAAGCTGAGAGAATGGCAAAACTGATCAAACTGAAGCGTGACGGAAGCCCAGCCTACCATGTGGACTTCTCTATTACACACGCTAATGCACTGCCTCTATGGTCTGATTCAATTTGAACTGGATCTTCCGATGTTTTAACATTTTAGCTGTAAAGCATGGACGATGGAAAACTGCCTCAGTGCCTGATCGTGCAAGAGGAGTTCTCAACAGCGACAGACTCACTGGTAGTATTCCAAGACTGGCTCTGTCTGAGCTTCGTAAGCCTTCAGTCTCTTGGCAACCGTCTCTGGTTTATCGTCCTCACGCTGCATGAGAGGCTCCCCAGTCAGATCATCGATGCCCTAAATGGGAGTCAGGACACGCCGGTATCAAACATTTTTATAGGCAGTTCTAGAACTTTTTAACAGATTTCTTCTCTGTGCAAACACCAAGCACACAGATGTACTTTTAAACAAACGGAATCAAATCCAAACCCAGATCACTGCAGCACAGAGCCACGTCAGTCACCTCCTTAGAGTAAAAGGTTTTCTAAGCAGCCTCTAAATAATGGCATGTTGTGGACGAAAAAGGGGTCTTCAGAAAGTACCCTCACAGGGTGACCCGATCATAAATTCCTAACTGGGTAGGTCACAGTGGGTAGTCATGCCCCAGGCATATGACTTATTTAGGAAAAGGTTTATCTTAGCCTTGAGTAAGCCCTGTCCATTGTTTCTGGGCATCTAGGTGACACACCTTTGAAATGACTCTTTCAGACCCCTCAGAAACCACCAAGAGAACATATAATCTTGTTAATTATCCTGTAATCCAATCCCCACCTTCTCGTCATCTTCCTGATGTTCCCTCCTTAATTCCAAATGCATGAAAGAAGCTGCCAACTGCCATTCTGGGGAGCATTTTTTTTTCAGTCTGTTGGGATCTTGTTTCCAGGCGTATCCTGTTTGGCTCAAATTTTTATAGACATTCTGTGTAGGTTTGGGCGTTCTTATGTTGACCTAAATAAGCCAAGGTGTCGCTAATTCCTAATGCCCCAACTCCTAACACACCCCCTGACACAGAATAGAAAAATCAATAAATGCTTTCGAAGGATTAACAAACCCCAGTCACTCCTGGGACGCCTCTACTAACAACCTGAGTGGACCAGACAAGGACTACACCAGAACCTGAGACTGTACCATTAGGAGTTTGGGGCAGGAAGGATTTTCCAAGGTCATAAAACTTCTGCCTGTGAGAGCAAGAGGCCTTGGGGACTGCTATGTGGAAAGCCGGTTCCACCGCAACTACTTACCACAGATTTGGGAGGGTTGAATTCGATGTTGTAGACTCGGCCGCTGGCCGGATGAATCCAGCGAGCTGTGAGGCGCTGCTTAATGACGTCAAAGGGCACCTTCAGATTAATCACGGTGTCTATTTTATAAACTTTATCCAGGGCTTTTGCCTGAGGAAGAGTCCTTGGGAAACCTTTACACACACACACACCCAAGAGAAGGAAGAAAGGGAGGGAAGAAGGAAGAGAATGAATAAATGTTGAGCAATCTGAACAGAAGCAGCAACACCAGCCAAGTGGAGCACAGCTGTAGGGCAACTGATAATTTCATGTGTTGACTTGATTGGGCCACGGGGTGCCCAGATATTTGGTCAAACATTATTTTGGGTGTGTCTGTGAGAGTGTTTTGGATGAGAGTAACATGTAAATCAGTAGACTGGGTAAGGCAGATTTTTCTCCCTAATATGGGTGGGCCTCATCTAATCCACTGAAGGTCTGAATAGAACAAAAGGGCTGACCCTCCCTGAATAAAGAGGGAGGTGGGACATGGGCTTTCTCCTGCCTTCAGACTGAAACTGACACAGCTCTTCCTGGGGCTCGAGCCTGCTGGCCTTCAGACTGGAAGCCCTCCTGCACCCCCAGTTTACCAGCTCACCTTGAAGATCCTGGGACTTGTCAGCCTCCGTGATCATATGCGCCCATTGCTTACAATTAATGCCTTCTCTCTCTCTCTCTCTCTCTCTCTCCTCTCTCTCTCTCTCTTCAGAAACTAAAAATCAACCCATTCGGCACACCTCTGCCGGTTTACAGCTGATTTTAAGTTACCCTCCAACTTTCCTGGCTTTCCTGCGTGGTAAACCTCCCTTGCCATAAAATATTCTTAAAAGAGGGGAAGGAACTAAAGTCACATCTAAAGGGACCTTAGGAATCATGCAGTCCACAGCCCTCCCATGTAGATGAAGAAGCAGGCCCAGAGAAGGCGACAGGCCAAGGCCTCAGGGTGAGCAGTGGCAGAACTCGGGCTCTCTGCCCACCACCCATGAGGTCTCTGCAGCCCAGGAAATGCTTGTTCTGCTGCCCGCACTCATTCTGGGCAGCTGAAATGCTAGTGACATGTCACTTACCATCCAAGAGCCAGTTATACTGGGTGAGGTTTTTCAGCTCATGCAAGGCCAGCCGAGTCATGATATCATCTGGGATGAGCTTCCCTTGTTCAATGAAAGTCTTGGCTAACACACCAATTTCTACAGCAGAATGAGGGGGGAGAGCAAATCAGCAACTTATACGATCACAAAAGTGAAAAGACAACCCAGTGAATGGAAGAGGTTTTTATAAATCATGGATCTGATAAAGAACTTGTATTTAGAATATCTAAAGAATTCTTACACCCTACCCGTGGTCGGCAAACCGCGGCTCGCGAGAGCACTGGCTTGCAGACAGAAGCGTCCCGGGTTCCATTCCAGTCAAGGGCACATGCCAGGGTTGCGGACTTGATCCCCAGTAAGGGGCGTGCAGGAGGCAGCTGATCCATGATTCTCTCTCATCAATGATATTTCTCTCCCTCCCTCGCCCTTCCTCTCCGAAATCAATAAAAATTTTTTAAAAAGAATTCTTACAACTCAACAATAAAAGGAGAACCCACTTTTAAAAATGGGCAAAGGATATGAATACAAAAAGTAGATATATAAATAGCCAATAAGCACATTAATAAATTCTCAACATCATTAATCATTAGGGAAATAACAAATGGTAACCACAATGAGATACCACTTCACACTCACTAGAATGGCTATAATCAGAAAGATAAATAAAAAGTGTTGGCAAGAATGTTGAGAAATTGAAACCCTCATATATTGCTGGTAGAATTATAAATGGTGTAGCCAATTTGGAAAATAGTATGGCCGTTTTTCAAAAGGTTAAACAGTTACCTTATGACCTAGTAATTCCACTACCAGATATATATACAAGAGAAATAAAAACACTTGTCCACACAAAACTTATATATGAATGTTCATAGCAACACTATTCACAATAGCCAAAAAGTGGAAACGACCAAATGTGCATCAAGCAATGAATGGATAAGTAAAATGTGGCATATCCATACAAAATTTTATTACTCAGCCATAAAAAGATGTGAAGCACTGATATATGTTATAAAGTGTGTGAACTTTGAAAACATGCTAAGTGACACAAAAGACACTTATTGTATCATTCCATGTATATGAAATGGTCACAATAGCCAAATCTATGAAACAGAAGGAAGATTAGTGGTTGCCTAGGGCTGGGAGCATTAGAGAAAAATGCAGAATGACTGCTAATGGGAATAGATTTTCTTTTTAAGGTGGTAAAAATGTTCTAAAATTGCTTGTGGTGATGGTTGTACAACTCTGAATGTAATATGAAACACTGAACCATATATTTTAAGAGGGTTAACTTTACTGTATGTGAATTATATTAATAACGTGTAGGTTGTTGTTGTTTTTTTAAAATGAAGGATAAAAAATGCTCGGTAAGCAAAACAAAAAGCCATTTGTAATTCCACCACTACTCAGAGATAATTATTGTTAAAACTAATAATATAAAAACCTCTCAATATTTTGTTTTGTGAAAAAATAGTCCCATGCATAGTCTAATAGTCTTTTTCATTTATTACTAACAACTCTATATCAATAAACATTTGTGTACAATAGTTATTAAAATCTAAAGCCTGTAATGCTCCCATTAGAGTTTATTTAAAAGAAAAAAATTATTCAACTCCCTATGTCAAAGTCCAAGTTAATTATACTTCAAATTTTTACCCCTTCCCAAAATTAAATGCAAGGAATCTTATCGAGCATATTCTTTGAACAATTGGTTACATATATTCCTTTGATTTCCTATTATTTAATATTGTATCTGAACAGACTCATAAAAATACTGTTTCTTTTTGGATTCAAAAATTAACAAATTTGGGCCCTACCCGGTTTGGCACAGTGGGTGGAGTGTTGGCCTGTGGACTGAAGGGTCCCGGGTTCGATTCCGGTCAAGGGCACATACCTTGGTTGCAGGCTCCACTGGGGCCCTGGTTGGGGAGCATGCAGAAGGCAAACATCTCTCTCACATCGGTGTATCCCTCTCTGTGTCTCTCCCCCTCCCTTCCACTCTCTTTAAAAGTTGATTATCCAAAATAAACTAATTTTCTATAAAAAGTATACACAAAAAACAGAAAAGGAAGGTTAGAGGAAAATAGGGAAGGTTAAAACCAACTTTTGATTTTAAGGATAATAATCAGGAATTCTAAAACATACAGACATCAGTCTGAGAAATAAGTGTTAGCATTATATAAAAAGCCATTTTTAATTCTACATCTCCTTTTAAAGTTTGGTTTCTTATAACATTATCCAAACCAACCACACCTCAAATCTGAATTTGTTTGGAAAAATAAATAAATAAAATAGACAATCTGTTTGGTCAGCTATGAAGAACAAAAGGGCCTGGCCAACCTGTGAATAACAGTTGCTTTTTACATGTGCCAAGGGCTACAGAGAATTAACCTAGTTCCTGCCAAAATTACTTTTAGCGAAGTACATAAAAGTTCATTTTTAAAACATGTCTAAAGAGCCCTAGACAGTTTGGTTCATGGATAGAGCGTGGGCCTGTGGGCTAAAGGGTCCCAGGTTCCATTCCAGTCAAGGGCATATACCTAGGTTGTGGGCTCCATCCCCAGTCGGGGGCATGCAGGAGGCAGCCAATCAATGACTCTCTCCCATCATTGATGTTTCTATCGCTCCCTCTCCCTTCCTCTCTGAAATCAATAAAAATAAATATTAAGGGAGGGGGGTAAGAGATCAACCGAAGGACTTGTATGCATGCATATAAGCATAGCCAATGGATATAAGACACTGGGGGGTAGGGGAGGCCAGGGGATTGTCAAGGGCCGGGGGGAAAAAAAGGACACATATGTGATACCCTTTGTAATACTTTAAGCAATAAAATAAATAAATAAAAATAAAAAAATTTAAAAAACATGTCAAAAGAAAAAAAAATCTATCAGAATGACAGAGAATGAGACAAATGATAGGTTTATACCCAGTCAAAGGCTTTTTATACAAACTTTTCTCAAATAAGAAAGACTAAAGTCAACACAGCAGTTCCCTCTGGGGAGAAGAGGGAGATATGATTGTGGAGTTAGAGCGGGTGGCCCCAGAAGTACTGTTTTTCTGCCTGAGGTACATGGGCATTCATTTTATTCTTATAACCATACATAAACAATTGTGATACCTTCATGCATGGGATATTTCACTACATTATATTGAAAATAAAAACCTCTCTTGACCACTAGTCCGCCCTCCAACCATCACCCAATCTTTCTCCTTCAGGGAAGCACCTAGAGAGAGCTCCCATCCCAGTTCTATACTCCTCCCCTTCCCACTCTGCTTCAGGATAGAAATGCAACTCAAGAACTGTATGAAGGCCCTGGTCTGGCTTGATCATCTCTCTCCCCCACCTCCCTCCCCACCGTGTCCACCAAACACACAAGCCATGCCCCTAGCAAGGCGCTCCACAGACCCTGGGTCCTCCTAGCCTCTGCATATGCCTGTCTCCTCTTGGCTACCTGATAAGCTCTTCTCATCCTTCAATGTAAACCTTCCACCTTGTGGGCAACAGGAAGTTCCTCCTTTGGACTTCCATGTGGCAGACTTGTCTCCCCTGGAGCACCATCACACTAGCTGAAAACTAGCTGTTTACGTATTATTATCGATCAAATTGTGCCCCTCTCAATCCATATGTTGAAGCCCTACCTCCCGATGTAGCTGTATTTAGAGGGGGCCTTTAAGGAGATAATTAAGGTTAAATGAGTTCCTCAATGTGGGGCTTTAATCCAGTCTGACTAATGTCTTTATAAGAAGAGGAAGAGACACCAAGAACAAATGCAACAGAGGAAAAGTCACATGAGGACACAGTGAGAAGGCAGCCCTTTGCAAGCCATGAAGAAAGGCTACACCAGAAACTAACCCTGTCAGCACTTTGATCTTGGACTCCTAGCCTCCAGAACTATGAGAAAATACATTTCTGTTGCGTAAGCCATCTCGTCTATAGTATTCTCTTATGGCAAACTGAGAAGACTAACACACATGGCCACTTGTCTTCCATGCCTACAATCCAATTGTGCGCATACCCAAGCATGTCAAACTCGTGGCCGGCGGGTCATGAGTTTGATATGCTTGAAGGGAAATATACTCGTCTCTGTATCTCCAGCACCTAGCATACATTAGGTACTTGATGGATCCACGGATGGATAGATGGAGAAATGAGCTGCCTTGATTCCTGTGGATTCTAGCAATGGGATTTTAAGAGGCCTAACTTACTTTGTTTAAAAAGAAATCTAGCAAAAGCCTACTTTCTTTGAGATGATATTTATCATCAGGTTCATCTTTTTAAAACGCTCTTTAAACTATTTAAACAAACTTTAGTACACCCACAAAATAACAAAAGGGTAAAGCAATCCAGATGTCCATAAATCAAAGGATAAACAAAATGTAGTAAATCCATTCAATGGGACATTATTCAGCAATAAAAAGGAATTAAGTATCAATACCTATTATACACAGTGAGCCTGGGAAACATGGTAAGTGAAAAATCCCAGACATGAGAGACTACATATTGTATGATGCCATGTGAATGCAATGTTCAAGTAAGAAAACTGAGACACAAAGTACATTAGTGTTGCCAGTGGCACAGACTGGGTGGGGTGAGGTGGGAATGGGAGTCACTGCTAATAGGTATGAGGTTTCTTTTGGGGATAATGAAAATGTTCTAAAAGAAAATTAAAATCCTCTGTATTTTCATCACTGAAAACAATTGTAATGAACCCTTTGCTGATTTTTCTTTCTTTTTTTTGATTTTTCTTATATTCTTCTCTTCTTTGCTGCATTTATGTATTTGCAATTGTGTTATATTCTAAATTATTGCTTAGATACCTTTTCCCCTCACTCATTGTTAGCATGTTCACACATCATTAAACAATCTCTCTTGTTAAATTTATTTTTATTGATTTCAAAGAGGAAGGGAGAGGGAGAGAGAGATAGAAACATCAATGATGAGAGAGAATCATTGATTGGCTGCCTCCTACATGCCCCCCACTGGGGAACAAGCCCACAACCTGGTCATGTGCCCTTGAGCGGAATCAAACCTGGGACTCTTCAGTGTGCAGGCCAACACTCAATCCACTGAACCAAACCGGGTAGGGCCATATTAAACAATCTTTAAAATATTTAGTTTCATCAAAATTGCAAAATTACTGCCCTAGCCCAGCTGTGGGAAAACTACGGCCCGCAGGCCGGATCCGGCCAGTTTGAAATGAATAAAACTATTGAAAAAAAAAAAGACCGTACCCTTTTATGTAATGATGTTTACTTTGAATTTATATTAGTTCACACAAACACTCCATCCATGCTTTTGTTCCGGCCCTCCGGTACAGTTTAAGAGCCCATTGTGGCCCTCGAGTCAAAAAGTTTGCCCATCCCTGCCCTAGCCGGTGTGGCTCAGTGGTTAAAGCGTCAGCCTATGCACCGGAGGGTTCAATTCCCAGTCAAGGGCGTGTACCTGGGTTGCAGGTTTGATCACCAGTGAAGGCAACCAATCAATGTCTCTCTCCCACCTCTCTTTCTTTCTCTGTCCCCCTCCATCCCTCTCTTACACTCTCTCTAAAAATTAATGGAAAAATATCCTCAGATGAGGATTAGCACGAAAACAAAAAATGATTGCACAATTATTAATTTAAACATTGACCTGTTCTCAGACATTTGTGTTGTTAACCATTCTTTACTATAATAAATACTGCAATGACCATCCTTGTAGATGAACATTTGGCAGCATCTCTGCTTATGTCCTTCAAATAAACTCCCTAGTGCGGAATTTCGGTAACTGTAGTACCATCAAATAGTGCTATGTAGAAGGATGGCGCCAACTTACTCTCCAAACACCATTTCATGAGAGTACTTTATAACCCATGGCTGTATTTTATAGCTGAAGCTTAAAATCATCCCAGCAGATGTGAGTAAGTCCTGGAAACACGCTGCAACCTGCTGAGGGTAGCAAACCTGAAGTAGCTTAGAGCTGTACCTGGAGTCAGGAAACTGAAGATTGACCCTTGGACATTATTCGTCCGCCGTCTCCTTTAAAGGTGAGGGAACTGAGTTCAGCAGAGGCAAAAGGACTTGCTCAATAAAAAACAGCAGTCACTGGGGGACAAAGGTGAACACCCCGGTCTCCTGAGTGCCAATTAAATTACACTTCCCATGCAGCATTTACCAAGTTGAGATTCATGAGATAATTTTGGGTAGAGAAAATATTATCTCAAATAAAAATAAAGTTCAAATTTAAAAACCAATAAAAATTTCATTTCAAAGTCTATTTGAAAAATAACTAGTACAACAAACCTTTAATTTCATGAGCATGATGGCTTATTAAATGAAAAGGCTGAGCTACTTTAAAGAATCAAACCAGCGATCTCGCAGTGCATGGGACCTGGCATTCAACCTACTGAGCGACACCAGCCATGGCAAAGCAGTATTTTTTTTAATCTTTTTTAAAAATTGATTTCAGAGAGGAAGGAAGAGGGAGAGAGAGAGAGAGAAACATCAATGATGAGAGTGAATCATTGATTGGCTGCCTCCAGCACCCCAACTCTCCCACTGGGGATGGAGCCCACACCTGGGCATATGTCCTGACCGAGAATCGAACCGTGACTTTCTGGTCCATAGGTTGATGCCCAATCACTGAGCTACACTGGCCAGGCTAACGCAGTATTTTTTTAAATAAATGATAACATCTCTCTTTTGTTTCTGGGACATATCCAATCCATTCACAAATATTTAGTGCTGAGAAACAAAACACCTGTAATAATAATAATCTCATGACACCACCCTAAACTCCACTTTCTGTTTTCCTTGTTAAAGAATTCCCTGAAAAGACTCCAAAGAAAACAGATGCCTGAGGTAAGCATAACATCTTTCCTAGTGATCCTCTCCTCCCTCCCTCTAGCCTCTCTTTTCATGTTGTGGACATGAAAGAGGACAGGAGGCGTGTCAGAAATGTTAAGGATAAACAACATTGTTTCTGAATTTTAAAGAAGTTTACTTATTCGCTTTAAATTTATTTCTTTTAACATTTTGTGCTTTCACTAATTAACATATCCTTAACACTCCACTGAAGATGTTCTTGAACCACATAGTTATGCGTCAATGCTGGCTTATTTTTCATAGAGTTGCTTAAGGATTCTCTTTACTCCTTTCCAACTGGGTGCAGTACAGGAGACTGCTTATTGTTACCTAACTACTTCAAAATGTTGCATCAAGAACACTCAGGGAGGGAGCCAAGCAATTTAAACTTTTGAAGAAGTAGAATTAACTACAAAATACTTCATGATCTTTTTTTTAAAAGATCAGTGTTAAGAAGAGAAAAATAAAAGTAGTAATCCACCAGCTGAACTGAACTCCAAGACACAAACTAAAAACACTGGGGTGGTTGTTTTCTTCATTTAAATGTCAGCATTTTGAAAAAAGCAAACCCCACTTAGAAATAATCTACATGTTCATCAATAGGGGATCCATTAAATAAATTATAGTAGAGTCAGCAAATACTTATAGAAAAATTGACAGAATGAAAGAGATGTCAATGTTGTCATGTGGAAAGATAATCCAGATATAAAATGAAAACACACTGGTGCACAATACATATATAATATGATTTCATTTTACATAAAATAAGGCATATATATAAAATAAGGCTTGCACCAAAATGTCTAAAAGAAAACACAGGATATTGTTCCCCTAGGAAGAATGGGACTGAGGCGGGCCATAAGAAAGGGCTTTACTTTTCTTTTATGTACTTCTGTCCTGTTTCCAATCTCCCCCACTCCAACTCCTCCCCCCCCCCTTTTTTTAACCTTGTGCAGGCATTACTTCTGTAATTTTTTATTTTTTAAAAATATACATCCATGATGAGAGAGAATCATTGATGGGCTGCCTCCTGCATGCCCCTACTGGGGAGCAAACCTGCAACCCAGGCATGTGCCCTTGACCAGAATCGAACCTGGGACCCTTGAGTCCACAGGCCCATGCTCTAGCCACTGAGCCAAGCCAGCTAGGGAGGTAATTTTTTTTTTAAATGAGCTCCAAAATGAGTTTTACTTTGGAAAATAAAGATCAGCACTTTTGAGGGGGGTGGGGGGGACCACTTCACCCTGATGTTGACTTTTGGACAACAGCCTTAAGATATAATTTACATAAAATCGACCCATTGTCAAGTGTACAGTTTTTTACTGGATTTCATGCTGAGTTATACAAACTTATTTGGCATGAGAACAAAACAATCTTTCAGATAACCACTCACAAGAATAGCTTTTGTGCCTAAGAAATCTCTGGAGGTATCCAAGATCTACGCCAATTGTGTGACTGCAATGAGGGCAAACAGTGCTCTGTCTTCAGATTATGGGGCAAAGGTCAGAACCAGAAAATCCCATAGAGTTAACCAAGAAGTAGAAAAGAAAGAAAAAAGAAAGGAAAGAAGAGGAGAGGGAGGAAGGGAAGGAAGGAAGGAAGGAAGGGAAGGAAGGAAAACTTTTTAGGCGCAAGGGCACGTGGAGAATAAGCCCCAGTTCGCTGGACTCTTAGGAGCAGCTGCGACCGGGGCTGGACGTGCCTCTCAAAGCCAAAGGGTTTCCTTTGAACTTTGACGGGTCCTCACTTCGTAGTTCCTTCCGCGATCACCGCCCGCAGCTGTCCACGGAGGTCAGAGGCTTCGGTGAGCGGCCAGTCGCTCAGCAGTGGGAAGCAGATGCTGCGCCCGCATCCCTGGACCCGCATACCCCCGACGCGCATCGCCCCCAAATTCCAATCCGGCCACAGCGCACCGCGCCCCTCCCGCCCGGGCTCCCACCTGTGCCTTGAAGGATGTTGCCTCGGAGCAGATCCCCGCTGGAGAGGTGCTTCAGCTCGAAGTGTTGGGTAATGCGCGACGACACGGTGCCCTTGCCGGAGCCCGGCGCCCCCAAGATCACTGCGCGCAGTAGCCGCGTGGACGCCCCCATG